TATAAATAATATTTATTTATTCTATAGATAAGTTCATAATATAAATTAAAAAGGGAAAAATCATAATATTAAAAAGTTTAAAACAATAAAAAAATAAAAAGGATAAATGTTTATAATTTAGAGGGTAAAATAGGTATTTGGCAATCCAAAATTTGGAAAATCTAGTTGAGTGACCTTCTGAGTCAATAGGCATAGTTCAGTGATTTTATTGTTACAAACGAAAGAAAAGTGACTTTAGAAGATAATATGGGATAATTGAGTGATCATTTGAGTAATGTACTCGAGTTGTAATTAGAAAGAACGAAACTATCATGAACTCCCTCAAACACTACCACAAACTACTAATAAGCAACCATAATCCATATGTCAATTATTCATGGTAACGAAATTCCTAGAGAGTGTTATGAATGTTAATTTTGTTCATGGAAAAAGTTTTCTAGAAAATGTTCGATCTATGAAAGCTAAAAATGTAGTTACGTATTATTTTACAATGTTTGACTACAAACTCAACACATCTGAATTTCTGTGTAAAATTTGGACATCAAGGTTTTTTTTTTAAAAAAAAAATATTCGAAGAACAAAAGTACATATTTAGAAACTAAAATAGATATTAGTATAAATGACAATTAAAACTTTTAGGAATAATAATAATAATAATAATAAAATCATGTGATTTTAGTAATAGTAAGAATATATATTAAATACTTGTGTTAAACGAAATCTCAGAATTTATTGGTGTAAAATTTAATGCGATTTGGTGTCAGTTTTAGCCTAAAAATTGTAACATGTTCAACTCGTCAGGTAAAAATTGATCTTAGAAATATAGTCATTGGTGATGCCTAAGTTCAACTTGGAGTACCTAAATTGATTCATAAAAACAATTTTGTCAAACAAAATTATTGTTTGATTTGTTATGTAGTTTTCTCCTTACAACTTTCTTTTGTAAGTAAAGATAAAACCTTTTTAAATTTAGTAATAATACAAAATAGAAATGAAATTTGATTTTGAATTAACAATTTGAGTTATGATAAGTTGTTTATTCTAATATGTTATAAAACAATAAAAGAAGAGTATTGCAGAGGAAAGTAGAGAGAGATAATTCTTATTGATTTGGTATGAATTACAATGGAATAGAACCATCTATTTATAGGGAGAGGGTGACTTAGCCACCAAGCAATGAACCCTAGAATATCTCTAAATATAGACATTCACCATAAATAAAATTCTATTTATAACACTCCCCCTTGAATGTCTATTCAACAGATAATGTGCCTCGTTAAAACCTTAACTAATATAAAACCCAGTGGGAAAAAAATTCTAGTAAAGGAAAAAGAGTACACATATCTAACAATACTCCTTTTGGTTGTCTCGTTAAAACCCTTGCAAGGAAAACCCAGTGGGACAAAACCTTGTACGGGAAAAAGAGTACAACGCGTATTAACTCCCCCTGATGAGAGCATCAATTCACATCCTTAAGCATTTGCATTCCAATCTTGTGCACCATCTTCAAAAGATCTTTGGTAGAGATTTGATGGACAAATCAACCATATTAACTTGAATGAATATATTGCACCTTGAAATCATCATTCTTGATAGAGATGAATTGTCTTCATATGCTCTTGTTGGAATCGTCAGTTCAATATCTTCACATAGAGGTGAAAACTCTTGCATTCATATTATCATGCATATAGTTATAGCAAGATATATTTGTGCACAAATTGCACTGAGGAAGTGGTACTTCAAGATCAAGAATTGTATATGCTTCAAGCAACTTAAATCCTTCATGGATTGTCATATAAGTTAAGCCATATAATAGACTTTAGATGCATATCAAGTTTTCATGTCATGCTAGACATATAAGATATCGAAAACTGATTGAACATAGCATTGACTTTATACTTTCAAGTGTTTGAACTACATGTTCAAAACTACATGGCTTTCATATGAAACCAATTCTATTCGAATTGTTTCTTCAGACTTAAGATCCTCATATATATATATATATATATATATAGCGCTATCATAGATGTCGTCGACAAACATTTTATATCAGTTTCAATATTTTGTTCATAAAGACATAACATAGAGATCTCTTCATTCATATTTTCAGGTACCTGAATCTCTCTTGAGATTTTATGAAGTGTTATGTCATGTGATCTTCTAGATCACTTGCCTCCTTATTATGATCATTTGCTCATCTTCTATATTAAGAAGTTTATTTGAAACCGATTTGTCTATACGCTTCAAGCGTACCATAACTTTGTCCTTCTAGGACTTATTCTAATATGAGCATTTGCAGTGAGATATAGTTACTTTTTTTGGGTCAGCAAATGCGTTTGGCATGCTTTGCAATAAATTGCACATGAATTATCCATTTATGAACTTCAGGTTCATATTATTTTATTCCGGGATCTAGATGTATAAATGATAATTCATTCCATGTAACTTTTTCTCAAATGTTGTATCTCGTCTCCCCCTCATGTTAGAAAACTAACCTGTTTCCTCAACTTTGAGAACCCATCTTTGTGCGTTATGGTGTTAATCAAAATATACACCGCACATCAATAATAATGAGATGGAATTATTTGGTTCCTGACCCTGAACCATTTGTGAGGGGAGAAAATAATATACTTTGGTATATAACGTATATCAAACTGATATAGATAACTTTGTTCTCATAAGCAATTGTTTAGCTATTAAGTAGAGGCACTTAATAAATCATTTTGCTGTAAACCAACTTATCAAGATGAACTTCTTGAATAAAAAATCTGGAAATTATGCTCGAAATTAAATTATTGAGCAAGTTACCTCGCAAACACCATGTTGCGGGTTAATAATAATCGCACATGTAACCATCTCATAGATGCATCTTATGTGGTATACATGGCAGGTGAATGGGCCCATATTCACCTTTGATATTTCCAGTATTCATGGGATTCAATCCCAATTTTAGTTAGTCCATTAAATAATGAGAACAAGCAACATAAGAGAATTCGTAAAGAACTTTCTAGTTCTTTAATATTTACCCATGTAAATTCTCTTTTATTTTGCACATCATACTTAAATTGATATGGCTAAAACAATTATGCCAACTGAATAAATTATCAACATTGATAAACTTCAGGTTTACACCATGACATGTGCAATTATCAATAAACTCCAAGTTTATTATGATATGAGTTTTTATATACATAAACATCCACTTTAGTGTGGTATTCTTTTATTTGTGTAGTACAAACTGGAGAATAAAGTGGGTAGCTTTTCACAGACATATTATCCCGCTACAAGTTGTAGTAATAGAAGATATTAAATTTTTCATTTATTTATAGTCTCAATATAATCAACCGCTTTCGTGTATACTTCGGCAACTGAATATGTTTCTTTGAGACTTACTACAACACAATATCTTATTGGTAATCAATTTTATTTCTCCAAAATAGTGATAATTGGCTCTTCGAGAGCTCTCAATTAATTTTGTACTACCACATATTCATCAACATCCATATGGTCATATATCTCTTTCAAGGAGAAAGTTATACCATTATGGTCATGGTCAAAATTATATGCAAGATATGTTTCTTGCATTATTGTTCTTTAATAATCACATTGCCAAAATATTTTGGCGTACAATAGGTACGTGACCAATGACTTCATGCCATAATAATGACATTGTTTTCTTATATCATCTCAAACCTCCTTTTAGAGGTGAGTGTGTATATTCACTACCACTATAGCACATTCATATTCTTCCAAGAATGAATATGTATTCATAAATCAGATATTGTCACATTCACATCATGAATTGACCATAGTCATCTGTATGTGCTTTATAAAATCTCATGTCAAATCGATGACAAATATTACTTTCACTGAGTGAAGGATTATTTTGAGAATCCTTATTATTCTCATTATCACAATGATGACGATTATAATTTCGTCTATTGCCACGTCCACATCCATTGATACCTTCACGGTAATAATTTTGTCTTCTTTCAGACGTATCACATACTGCTATCACATTCTATTAAGGGAATGAGAATGGAGCAAATTCAATGGGACGGGTTTTCACTTCTTGTGCTCACGATCATACATGACTTTGCTCATGGCAAGACATAGAAATTTTACCACTTCAGGTGGTTATAATTTCTTACAAACTCCATTAGAGTTGTAATCAAAATTTATTATCTTTGCTTGTATATAAAATCAAATTATAGAATTTCAAGAATTTAAAAGAGAAAAATAAAGTAAAATACTTACCTTAAATCCAGAATTTAATCATGAAGGAAGTTCATGGAATAATTGACCATCATTATGCTTAATCCCAAAGCTTCTACTCAATTGGTTAGAGTCTCGTGCTGATAACGTGTTATAAAACAATAAAAGAAGAAGAAGAGTATTGCAGAGGAAAGTAGAGGGAGATAATTCTTATTGATTTGGTATGAATTACAATGGAATAGAACCCTCTATTTATAGGGAGACGGTGACTTAGCCACCAAGCAATGAACCCTAGAATATCTTTAAATATAGACATTCACCATAAATAAAATTCTATTTATAACAGTTCAATAAATTTTGATCTTCTTAAATTTTGGACTATTAGCCTGTTTGGCCAAGCTGCAAAAATCAGCTTATTTTGAGAAGTGCTTTTTTTCAAAAGTGCTTTTCTCAAAAGTACTTTTGGTGAGAAGCAATTTGTGTTTGGCTAATTAGTTTGAAAAGCATTTCTGAGCAGCAATTAGTATTTAACCAAACTTTAAAAAACTGCTTCTAAGTATATTTTTCTCAAAAGTGCTTCTCAAAAAAGTGCTTTTGGAGAGAACTTTTTTCTGCTTCTCCTCAAAAGCATTTTTTTTCCTTCCAAAAGCTTGGCCAAACACCTCAATTTTTGGCCAAAAGTGCTTTTGGTAAAAAAAAAAAAAAAGGCATTTTTGACCAAAAAAAAAAAAAAATTGGCCAAACAGGCTATAAATGAGTTACAACTCATTTAATGACCTAACTTATTGATACCACAAGGATTATGATGGGATGGAAAAAATCTCACTCTCTCAACAAAAGATAATGATTCTGAGCCTCTGTTTGCCGTCTCCTTGTTAGACTGAACTTCAATATTGATATCGGATACCGATCTAAGTCATTTGACTCCCTTTCAACTCTTCCATTTGACACGGAAAAAAATAAAAATAGAAAAGAAAAAGAAAAAACGAACAACAACTGGGTAAACTTCCAACAGTTCTAGTTGCACCTATTTCTTGCCACCCACGACCAAAATAGAAGCAGCTGCAGCTTTGCATTAGCCTACCCCTCCCCCCCCGCCCCCCACACACACACAACAAAACCCCCCTCCAGGCTCCAAACCTCAATCTTTGTAACAAAGCTGCCGCCGCCAAATAAGGAAAACGTTTTTCAGGTAATGTCTGATACCCTCTCTCTTTCTTACTCCATTTCTTAATAATTTAAGCATTGTGAATAAAACAAGGGAGAAAGCTCATAGCTTCTTTTTTTTTGTAAGTTGTTACTTACTACTATTATTTTGTTTTATCCATTTTGTAATTGTTTTCCTTTAATCTGCTAATTGCTTGCTAGCTTGATCAGGATAAAGATGACATATTTAATCCTTATACATACGTATCTGCTTGTTGGGTCACATAGCCTTGCATTGGATTTGATTTTTTTTGTGTCACGTTAGAATTTACATTCTAAATTTGATGGATTGAAGTTTGGAATTAGTCTTTCCTGTAAATTCTTTGTTTCCTTATCAATTACGTTTCATTGTGCAACAAGTATATGGTCTTTGTACTAGGAACTTCTTGCTTGTAAGAATTCTGTATATAAACACTTTTTTTTGCTCATATTAACAAGGCATTCAAGTGGAAACATTGAGGGACTTGTGACTTAAGTCACAGGTTCGAACCCGATGGTAGCGGTTGGTCCTAAGGGTTGGCCCTAGACAGATTTCTCCATCATTAAAAAAGACAAGGCGTTCCCTTTCTCTTAGCTCTTCCGGAACCATATTTTCTATGTTGTTTACCTTTGTTAGGGGTTGTTTGTTTTTGTTGTGGTGGTGGTGGTGGTGTGGTGTGTGTGGGGGGGAGCCATGGGGGGGAGCCAGGATTTGAAGCTTATGGGTTCGGGATTCTAGTCCTTTTAAGTTACTGGGTTCTAAATTAACAATTTGTACTTTAGGACAAATACGTGGATTGGACTAAAACGACTGGGTTCGGCCAAACCCGTACTCGATGGGCTAGCTCCGCCCCCGGGGGAGCAGGGGCGAAGCTAGAAGTCTAGAGCTTTTGTTCGAACAATGTATTGTATTAAGAAATTCATTAAATATGTATAAATATTAAATTTAGAACCCAGTCATTAGTACTTGAAGTCGTTATTCTAAAATTGAGAACCCGTAAAGTTGACTAGCTCCGCTGGGGGAATGGGAGATTTCGGGTTTAACTTAGAGGGAGCTACGAGTTTGAGTCTTGTTGTTTAATGGACTTCACATATTCATGCTTTATCTAGTGTGTCTAGAAAAGGTATTAAAAAAGGGAAAACTATGATCGATTGATGAGACCATATTAGGTTTTTAAGCAGTGATTATTTTTGCAGAACTTTACATCCTGAACTGCAAGCGGAGCTTCTCCCCGGCATTGATAGTCACAAAGCAAAATGGCTGTTTGTGGTTCAAGAACTTCTCATATTGGTCATTTTGTTGGCAATATGACTGCTAGGCGCCTGCAATATGGTTTGTCGGTAAATAGCAGCACCGTCTCTTACAGCAATAGAAGCATTGAGAATGTTAGAAAAGCCAGTATTTGTTTGAGAAATGAAGGCCAGCCCCACAACTTCATGTTATCTCAATATTTCAGAACTAGTGTTGCAAAGAGGAGGGGCAATTTGAATCCATACGAAGGATTTGGTTTAGAAGGTTTTTGCATTTTATCACCTGCGCATTTCTCTTCTGGAACTACTTCTCCTCCTGGCATGTCTTCTATTAATTCTCAGGGAAAGAAACGTGCTGCAACTACTGCTGGTTCTTCTGAAGGAAAGATACACCTGAAGCTGAATTCGGGATCATTTTACCTGCCTCATCCTGCTAAAGTAAAAACTGGTGGAGAGGATGCTCATTTTATATATGGCCCTGCACAAGCTATAGGTGTAGCTGATGGGGTCGGTGGATGGGCTGATCTTGGTATTGATGCGGGGGAATATGCCCGTGAACTAATGTCTAACTCTATATCTGCAATACAAGAGGAACCTAAGGATTCCATAGACCTAATCAAGGTCCTTGAGAAAGCTCACATGAGAACAAAAGCAAGAGGTTCTTCGACTGCTTGTATTATTGCGCTCACTGATGAAGGTATATATGCTGTTAATTTAGGAGACAGCGAATTTATATTGGTTAGACATGAATCTGCTATATTCAAATCTCCTGCACAACTGCACGGTTTTAATTTTCCATATCAACTGGAGGGAAGTAGTGCTGGTGATTTGCCTAGCTTGGCTGAGGTGTTTAAAATTGCAGTTGCTCCAGGAGATGTCCTAATTGCTGGTACTGACGGGCTTTTTGACAATTTATATGACACAGATATCACTGGAGTTGTGGTTCATGCTGTGGAAGCTGGCTTAGAGCCAAAGATGACAGCTCAAAAGATAGCAGCATTGGCACAACAAAGAGCAATGGACCCAACTAACCCGTCCCCTTTCTCTGATGCAGCCAAAGAGGCCGGATTTGAGTACCACGGGGGGAAACTTGATGACATAACCGTAGTTGTTTCTTATGTAAATAATGACGGCGATCCATAACATAATGGCGTTTTGAAGACATGGGAAGTTGGGAACATTGACCACTTGGTATCCTTAGTTTGAGGTTTGAAGCAGGAACAGCAGCTGGCTGAGAGTGACATTGCAGTACCAGAGATCAGAGGCATCAGTGGTTGAATTTTCGCTGTTGGATTGCCGAAAGAACAATTGTTGAAAACGAAAGCTCTGCAGCTGCATGTTGCGGCAACCTAGTGGAGCACCTTATTTGGTCAAGTGTTTTAGTTCCTAAAATTCAAAATGGGCTGTTTGAGTTCATCAGAATTTAATGGAGGGCGCTACGTTCTACCAGGTTGATAGAGATCTTAATTGATTAATTAGTTCTTGTTGACATTGATGTATATTAAGACACGGCTCGCTGAAAGTTCTCGTTTCTGTCTATTTGGTTTTGTATGCCATGGGTTCTGTATTCTTGAAGAAATACTTTCCTTTTCTACCCACTTGGGGTTTGTGAGAACTCATTTTCCTAGCCAACTCTGGATTTAGTTTTGCAACACTCTGAGTATACTAATCTGAAATTGGATTTAGAGGGATGGGATGACTGAAAAGGAGGTATACCTCCTTGAACTGGAACGGATTGCGCACAATTTACTCCGTCCCATAGTGCCAAGCACTCAAGGGTGTGACCTAGTATTAGTTAATGAAGAGGTTTCAAATCCTAGTTAGCGATTAAAAAAAAAGCAAGTAATTTTTTCCTATCTACATAAGTCTCGGTACATGTGCTAGTGGAAGGCAGTGCTAAGAACTAGTCTCTTGTGCTAGTGGAAGGCAGTGCCAAGAACTAGTCTCTCCTCTAGGGCCCTAAAAGCCAAGTACAACAAAAATTGGCAGACTCCTATCTTTGCCTTTCGAATGTGTGACATTCGAAATTAAAGTTGTTTTATATGACATTGATAAGTTGTTTTATATGACATTGATACAACAAAAAGGAGATAAGTAGCTATTTATATGACATTGATTTGTGAAGTAATTAAAGTTGTTTTCTAATGAAAATCGAAAAAGTTCTCTTGATTTTGTCCTAGGTATATATAATGGTCTGCTAGATCTATTGTAGAGTACAATTCAGTATCTCTGTCTAATCTGAATTCTTCAAGGCTTACACTTGGGTTTTTACCAAATATTTCTATTGTAACAACAGAAAGATGTATTGGCATAAAGCTCGAACAATTTTAAGTGAGTTTCTTATATATATCGTAAGTTACCACTAGTGCTGTATTGTGGGCCGGTCTGGGACCGGGACCGGACCGGGCCCGCGGTCTTAATGGGCTAAACGGTCTAGGCGGGCCGGTCCTGGTGGGCCGGTCCCTGATGGTGTAGAAAGCCCGTGGCGGGCTGGTCCCTTGCGTGAGGCCCACGAGACCGGGACCGCTAAGCCCGGGACCGGCAGGCGGTCCTGGGCCGGTTCAACCGGGCCTAACGGTCCTAACGGGCTCTAACGGCTCTTTTCTAAAAAAAAAAATTTTTTTTTTTTAAAAAGACCAACGGTCAGATTTTTTAAAATCTAGCCGTTGGCCTTTAATTTTCAACCGTTTGGAACTTTAAAAAATAGCCATTTGGCCCCCAAACTTTATTATAATTACACTTTTTTCCAATTCTCAAACTAAAAATCCCCCTCATTCTTTATTTTTACTCACCAAATTCATCATCTATCATTCAATTCTCTCTCAATCTATATCTAATTTCTCTTCTATAATTGCTTATTTTATTATTTGCAATTTCGTAGAAAAATTGTGAAAGTTGGTGATTGAAGTATTCAAGTCTTCAACGATTTTCAATTTCAAGAAGTTGTTCGGCATATCGGTAAACTCGTTCCACTCTTAAGTTTTAAGATATTTTTTTGTGTGTTTAGTTTGCATAATTGTAATTATATGGCAATTTCTTTGAAAAAAATGTTTGGTTGGTAAGGAAAAGCTTAAATTGGTGAAAGTAGTCTCCAACCTACTACCCTTCCCCGGCTCCCCGACCCAGACCTATTACCCGTCCTGCTGCTTCCTATTATTCTTGATAGTGATAACCCTTGTTTTTCAATTTTTCCGATAGTGAATTTTGCCATACATGTTGCACAAGGTGAACAATTAAATGAAGAAGTTATGAATGCTCCTTATCCTTAATCAAACTAATCTTAGAAAATGATGAGGAAAATGAGGATGTAGATGAAACCAACCGAATTTAGATGATATCCACCTACTAGTCCTGTTAATAACCCCAACTGATGTCCCGCCCGACCACCTGTAGAACCCCTACTTTTAATAGACAACCTTCTAAACGCCTAGAAACATCATTAGTTTGGAATTTTTTTACTCAAGTAAGAGAACAAAATAAGGCTAAGTGTAAAACTTGTGGGAAATTGCTGGCGCATAAATATACTGGAAGACCGTAGCGGTACGGGTAGTTTGGGCTAGGCACATACAAACACACCCTAGAGATAAAGTTAAATATTTACAAATGAAAGCGCAGCAAGAGGGGACAAGTGTAGATCCTGCGGTTAACCCTAGTACAGGTTCAAATCTAGTTCAACAGGAATTAACACTTGTACCGGTGGTATTTTATATTTACGATTCTTAATAAAGATCGTGAAGAATTAGCAAAGATGTTACCCGTTATGTGCTTACCATATACTTTTCCTTCTAACCCTAATTTTGTGCATTATTTAGAAAAGTTTTTTAATCCTACTTATAAAGGTTGGCCTCGCGCAACAGTTAAGAAGCGATATTTATAAAATATAAACATGAATATGAACAATATTTGCGGTATTTATTTACTCATAATAACTAATCGGATTTCTATTACTACTGATATTGTGTAGAAGTAATAATGACTGTGATTATCTAACTGTTACAAGTCATTGGATAGACGAGGAGTGGATAATGCAAAAACGCATTATTGGGCGTATAGAATAATTAATTCACGTCACACAGGTAAGTTTATTGCTAACGCTGTTGCAGATATTTGTAGATATTTTTGCATTAGAGATAAAATAATGGCAATTTCTATGGATAATGCTTCTAGTACACTTAGTGCTATAGGCATACTTACAACAACACTAAATCCTGCATTTAGTAATTGTTTCCATGTGAGATGTATTTGTCACATTTTACCATTTAAATCGTCGTGATGGTATGAGAATTTTTAAATTTAGAAATTGAAAAGGTTAGAATGACTCTTAATTGGCTTTTTTATTCAACCGTAGAAGTAGACTTAGAGAGTATTTTAAAAAATGTGATGAATTTGGCCTTAGAGAAAGAAAGGTTCCTAACCTGTGTCCAACTAGATGGAATTATATTCGAAAGTTTAGTAGTTGCATATGAATATAGAAACCCAATTAATGCAACGTTTAATGCTCGTGTTGGTGGTTGAGGATGATGATGAAATCCTTACAAATCAAGATTGGACGAATGTAAAAATTCTTATAGATTTTTTAGAACATTTTCAATTTGCTACAAATATATTTTTCTTGGACAATATTATCCTACTATTTCAAATTGTTTAGTTTATATTGCGCACTATGTGATTTGTTTGTTGAATTTTCGGAGTGTGGAGAAATTCTTATAAACTTGCTATAAATGCAATGAAAGAAAAGTTTAAAAAATATTTTTTTCCCAATCCCCCATTTTTATGTTGTTGCTTGCATGTTAAATCCTACTATGAAATTAGAGGTCTCACTTTTGGTACTCAACTATATTTATAAGGCTTTAGATCTTTCAGTTGAGGAATTTTCTACACTTGCAGAGGCAAAAGCCTCAATTAAATAAATGCTCAAACAATTTATAATGCTTACCAACTTGCGTTAGATCATGCTAGGCCAAATGTTCCAACCCTACTTCGTCTAGTTCACAATCATCTAAAAGAGTTGCGGGCCTAAAAGCACTTAAATCTTGGACGGAGTTTAGGGGTTCTCAAGGTGATAATTTTGATGAGACTTCACATCTAAATGAGCTTCAAGTTTATTTGTCGCAGGGACTTGAAAAGGAGAATCCAGACGGACACCTTTGATACTTTTGGAATGGTGGAAGGCAAGGGAAAAACATTTTCCGGTTCTGGCAAGGATGGCTCGGGATATTTTATCTATTCAAGCTTCAACAGTTGCATCAGAGAGCGCTTTCAGTCAAGCAAGACTTCAAATAGGTGATCATAGAGCATCTATGAGGGAGAGCTTGGAAAAATCAGTACTATTCAGAGATTGGATCCGCTCGGAAAGAAGAAACTTTGGACTTGCAGAATCACAACCGGAGATAGACGAAGCTTATGAAGAAATGATAGCGGAACTTGCGGAGGATGCTGCTTCGCCCGGAAGCGGTGATGAACAAGCTTCTTTTCCGCCACCACCAACGGAACCTCCTCCGAACCTTGAAGGATTTATGAGATTTGTTAGAGATACAATGTAGGTTATGGTGTAACTTGTACTTTGGCATATCTTCTTTAGTTTTTTTTCCTTTTAATGGTGGTATTAGTATCTTGTTGTGCTCATTCCATTGGGGGAAAGAAGACTAAGAAAGATATGCCATTTTTGGTAATAAAAATTATAAGACATGCCCTTGAATATCTCTTTGCAATATTTTTTTGTCTTTAACTTGCAATTATTTATAAGCTATAATATATAACATAACATACAATATATACTACAAGAAAATATATAAGGGAATATATATACATAACATACAATATATACTACAAGAAAATATATAAGGGAATATATATACATAACATACTATATATAATATACTATACTAGTATACTATACTAGTATACTATATATATTATATTTATATGAAGAAGTAGTACTATATATACTACAAAACAAGATTTTTTAAAATGAGGGCCCCACCCCCAATGACCACCAACGGTCATATTAATTGCACAAATAGCTGGGTTTTTTTTTCAATTTACAAAACTAACCTTCTCTAACACTATAAGTACCCCCCTCCCTCTTCTTCATTTCAATACTCAATACTCATTTCTCAATCAAAATTTCTCTCAATCTCTCAATCTCCAATTTTCAAGACTTCAAGTCTCAATCTCAATTTTCAAGTTAAATCATGCCTCGTTCGGAAAGAGTGCGCTTATTTGTTTCGCAATACTATGAAGTGCTTGAAGAAAATGAAGAAGGCCAAATATTAAAGTGCAAGAACTGTGGAAGAGTCTTAAATTTTCGTTCAGGGTGTACCACAGGCATTTTAAGGAGGCATATAAAGTATTGTGTTGAGGGTATTTATCCGCAAATTCGTCTTTAAGATTTTTCAACAATTTGTGTTATTTTAAAATTATTAGACGTATTTATGCTTCATGTTGTACTTTGTTATTAATTTATTATGCATGCCAATTTAGTTTTACTATTGATTTGTTATTTTACATTTTCGTCAAACACTTTAATAATTAGATTTCTATATTATATATACTACATATATTTATATAGCCATGCATAAGAGCAATTTATATATATACATACACATATGGTTTACAAGAAATTACCTTAT